GAAGCAGCCTGAAATCGCGCTCCACGGAGCAACCTACTCAAGTGTGTGCGTGCGTGTCGATCTCCCCGATAAAACAGTCGGGTTGGTGGGGTCCTTTCAACATGGGTCCAGTCCAGAATCGTCTCCGTAGGGTATTCCCTGATTGCAACTGCAACGTTCTTGGATGCGTAGCACGGAATTATCTAGAATCTAGACTATATGATCCACCATCATGCAGGTCTCAGCAATCTCTTGGGTGCTCGTGCCTTGGTTGGGCACGTCTGAGTTCAGCTTCATCCGACAGGAAATCTCGTCCGGATTCCGCCGCATGTCGTGGCACACCTGCGCAGTGGCGCCTACTTGCGATGGCCTCCTGCCTAATAGCGATGGCCTCCAACCTAATAGCAATGGCCTCCACTGAACAAAGGAAATCATGGTTCCTCGGTTCCTCCTCAGTAGATCCCAGCTGTAGGTGTTCTCCAACGCCATCTTCTCATAAACACAACTGACATGCTTGCGTGGTTGCAGCATTGCATGATCAAAAACCACCACCGAGCCACAACCCACCAAACAACAACAACAACAACAACAGCTGCTACTACTACTACTACTACTACTACTACTAAACGACAACCCACTAAACAACCCACTAAACAACCCACCAAACAACCCGCCAAACGCCACCAACGAGACAAAACATTGGACCACCGAGGTGCCTGGAACTTCGGCCCGAGCCACAGGCCCGTGCTGTCCACCAGAGGATACCTGGAGTGTTGTAAAGGAATGCGACCTGCATGCAGTGGGGCCAATAAGGGTTGGGGGTGACGAATGAACAGGGCCACACGTAGTGCTTTTTTGCGGTGCCGGCCCAGTTCATGGACCCAAGGTCCCAGTTGGTGCTTTGGTGATGTGGCACAACTCACCACAATCATCCTCCAAGAAATCTTCACCAAGGGCATACTGGTTACTACCTTAGCCTTACTGAATAAGGTAAATTTTTCATGCGGCTCTTTGATCAATCCAAAGGTCTGTTGTGGTTCCAAGGCACTTTCACCATCTTTCAAGGGACAACAAATAGATAGAGCTCCTCTCAGAATCCGACCCGAAACTTCTCGACCCAACTCCGCAAAACCGCTCAGTTTCGGCCAAAGGTGCAGCTTCTTGGGGTCCACCTCTTCAGGACATCGCTTGGAGCAGGCGCTGAGGGACAACCTATCCAGGTCAGCAACGTGTTTGCGTTCCAGCAGAGGGGATGGATTGGATGGATGACTTTGGAACTTGCCGCGACCAAAAGTTACTATTCTTGGGGATGTTTTTTGGTCAAGAAGGGAAATCACAAATCGCACGTTTGAATGATTCCATTTGCTGGAAGACTGCAGCTGGGGTCTTTCGCATTCCCACAAATGTTGATGGAGAATCTGAGTCTGAGAATGTCAAAATTATTGCAATTGAGGTCATGTCTTTAATCAGAAGATGTGTTCCTCTCTCCACCACAGAGAAGCTGGTGATAATCTGCTTTAAGCAAGCTTTTGGCATCCAACTGCTTCTGTACGAAATACCCAAACCAGTATAAAGTCAATCAGTCAATCAGGTCGCCGGAGTGCTTACTGAACTACTGGTGAGTCACTTGTAACAGCAATGAACAGGAAATGGACCCAGCACACATTATCATTTCACAGAAACGGCACAAGAACGTAGTCTTGGAATTCAGCACTCTGCGGATATCCCCAACAAGGTGCTGCAGTGGCTTCAGAGGGGACAACATACAAAATACAAAACCCCTCAAAATGGTCCAGCTGGATCACTATGCAATCAATGTACGGCGCTTTCTCATATTTTCTATAAACAAGTTGAACCGAAACCACCCAGTCAAAGCCCAGACACTCTGCATCCACTTGCTCTGCCGCTCGTTGTCCACCACCTGTGGCTTCCACTTTGCCCTCACAGTGGGTGGTCCAGGCGTCGTCGCCGGCGGATTGGCTCCGGAGCTCAAAGCGTTTGTTGCCTCAGGGCGCAATGAGTACATCCAAGTGGATGATCGGATGACTACAAATTGATTGGTGTGGAAGCCTCAAAATGGGGTTTGAGCTGGAATTGCAAAAAGGTTGCCTTCCACATCCTCCCAGCCTTGATTTCAGGAGTTGCCTGCACTGAACACTGAACTATATAATATAAAGAGAGGATGTCAGCATGATTCAGCGATCTGTGATCTAGTACCTTTTTTTTGTAATTATGAGCAACTCTTTGTCAGCTGTTTGGGCAACGGGGCAAATGGCTTTTGGACCATTTCTCGACCGGAGGGCATTCGTGGCGTGAGCTTGTCACTTCGAACATCTTCGAACTAATGAGCATACCAACACCTGCAACTATGCCGTTTGGGTGTCTGGTGCAAAAAACTTATTTCCACATGAGTCACATATGAGTGCTCACTGACTTCACATAAAATGGTCCACTTCTCCGGGGCACCAATAATGGCCAACCTCATTGTCATCTGCTTGGCATCGCTATCACCGTCCTGGGGGTGTCTAAACTTGCGAGAAAAGAGAAGGCGCCGTGCAGGCATGCTTCAACACGGACGCACGCCCATTTGTGCGTGCATGGCAGCAAGATCTGTGCGTCGATCCGTCGATGCGGGTCCTTGGGCACGACAAAAGGCCAGACCATCTGCACGTCTCGCAGTTGGGCCTCAGGGCCCAGATGGGCACGAGAAGCCTCCATGGCCATCTCCACGAAGACCACACCTGGCGGTGTTCCTAGGGTTGTTGGACGAAGTATCGACAGGTAACTATAGTGAAAGCCTGACTTGAACTCATCCCTTTCAAAAGGAGCATGGACGATGGCCTCTATCCTGCTTGCGCAAGATCCTAGTTGCCTGGGCAAATGTTTCCAGATCCCCACTATTTTATTTCCAACAGTGTGAAGAAAAACTGAGGGTAATCGTCCATTTGAAGAGCGAGGTTCTCAAACCCGGGCCATGTTCAGGGTCCCAATGCGTTGTGAATTCTGCATCTCCACGGCACCTGGTACCACGATTTCATTGTAGACCACGTGCTCAGCAGCCACTCCAAAGACATCCGCGCGCACCGGCACATCGAAGTAGACCTTAAGGTGGAAGGCCATGTGGCAGCAGAACTGCTGGGCACTCCTCTTACTGAACCACCCACATCCGCATGTGATCGCAGGTCATGATACTGAAATTAGGTGTCGCTATACTCGTTTCTATCGTTCTAGGGCATGCTCCCAATTCTGTTTATCCAGGCCTAAGGTCCAGACAAGGCATTGTGGAACACTTGATCGATGCTTAACAGCTTCCCTTCAACTGAGGGGTCCGCGGTTGTACCGCACCTGTGTTTACTTCTGAGCTATCAAATGTTGGATGGCTTGTGCAAGTGTGCACATATTTCCGTTGCTTCGCTTACCAAACAATTTGCTCTAAATTGATAGAGCAGAACTGCCGGAAAACTGAAAACCTTGGATTCAGAACGGTCCAAACAATGAAAAGTCAACTGTCCGGTCAACCCTTCATCTCCGAGGTGCTTCACCCTTGCCCTCACTGCGCTTGCGCAGCAGCCGAGGCCCGGCATCACGCCAGGGGTAGGCCATGCGCTTGAAGGTCAAAGGAGGCAAGCCACCCTAGGCAGCATCAACGCTGAAAAGCTTCAGGTGTGGAGTCTTCACATGCCACCTGCGATATTTTGGGAAATGACTACTGAGATGATCGTACAACAACATGTTGGTGCTCTTATGGCTTTGTGGTTACTATGGTTCGGGGCGATCCTGAGTTTGAGTCTGCAGGGGAGATGAAACCAAGATGGATAGCTTACCACGCGGCTGGGATGGTTGTTTGCGAAAGTGATGACCGTTAGGAAGCAGGAATGGCAGTTTTTGAGCAGGTAACTACTATGCATTGGGGATCTGTTGAATCTAGGACATGAATCACAGCCTTGCAGAGGTCCACAATGCAGTCAGACCACCACGGATCATCAATCAGAATCATTGCAACTCATGTTCAAAACTTCACGCTTTTTCTGAAGAGCCTGGCTTAGTGGGACATCTCATTACCGAAGACCTCAACAGACCTACTGTTTCCTTGTCATTTTGCGGCATGCAGCGCTGGCGCTCGCGTGCACCCACGGTCCGCGCCTGGAGGGTCACAAGTGCCTTGTTGACACTCAAGGCCTCATCCTCTCCAGGCTCAATGGAGTGCAGCCATGGCCAATCCTTTTGGGCTGCTGGGCCTGTAACACATCGCTTGCCTCAGAGCAACATCAGTCGATATCCCTTGCATGTCATTTAGTGTAAGCATGTGTAGGGGGATATTGGGCACTTCTTCATCTCTTTCGCTAGGTGTGAGGGCTTCAACCTCAAGCGTTTTCAGCCACTTCGGTCGAAGATCTGAGTGGTCGTGTGCTTCGAAAAACGTTTCGATGGGTCAAACATCACCAAGGACCTAGGTGCCCATCTTCACCAATGTCGGCTCAGGCCCCACTTCCAGGTACGCTTCCACGTCCATGGATTCCAAGCCTCGAAGAGGTTTTTGATTGGTCGAGAATGATCGAGAAAGCATTCTTCGAGAATCATCGGACTGTTGACTCGGACTCTTCTTGTTCCTAGGAGTAAGAATGCTACTAGTAGTAATACCAGGAGCCCCTAGTAGCGTCCTTGCTCCTAGTG